GGTCTGTGGGAGGCAATTGGCAGCAGGCCGTCTCTCAAGGACCCAGATCCAATACCATGAAGGGCTTTGCACAAACTATATATAGCATACTGTTATCTGAACCCTTCGTTTTCATTACCGTTTCTAAGGAATGCATCTTTCATCAAAAAAATTTTTTTAAAAAGTATGTTTCATTATTATTGTTTTAGGTCAAACAGATGTCTCCTGCAATAGGTAATCCAGCTGAAACAACTCACAATCCTCCCCAGTTTAATTCTGCTTAGGAGAAAAGAGGAGAGTGCCTAATGGACTGCGTAGTAAGGAAGCAGATTTGCAAAGCTAAAGTCTCTCCAGTTTCCTGTAACTGTTTACTAGCTAAAAAGGAAAGCTTTATACAGACTGTGATAAACAAAGCTCTTGTTCACGTCCCTCCCACGAAATATGTGAATAACATCGTTGTTTTTTTTTCATTTCTATATTTATAACATTGTTCTACTATATGGATTCATCTCATTTTCTACAAGCTGACGAAGCAAATAATAGGAAGAGAGATCAGCACTAGCGGCACTTCACATTTCCCTCGAAGTGTAAGGTTTTCAATTCAAACGCCTACCATGTAATTTCTACAATTATTAGTGGTATTAAGAGAGTCAAGTTTCGTTCTGACATGATGCAATCATATTTGAAAGAGATTCAAACAAATAGCAAAAAACAGAAAGGTATTCATTAGAGGAAATATTGGTCAAATCAACATTTCTTGCCGAAATTAGTCCGAAATTATTTATCCTATACATTCTGGTTAAAAGGATGGTAATAGGATTCAGTGTTAAAAATTGTTTTATGAAAAAAATCTTCTATAATTCTGTGCGTGACCCGTCAAATGCGCGCTCGAAAAAAGCGCACCAACAAAACCGTGGCGCGAAAACAGCGAAGACGAAATCGCGCCCACAGAAGTGCGCCGATAAATGCGCACCGACGAAAGCACGATTAGGGTTAAGGTAAGGGTTAGGGTTAGGTTTAGAGTTAGGTTTAGGGTTATTACGTTGTATTATGTTGTTTGTTGATGGCGCGCTTTCGTCAGCGCACATTTATCGGTGCGCTTCTGTGGGCGCGATTTCGTCTTCACTGTTTTGTCGGCGCGCTTTTGTCGAGTGCGCATTTGACAGTGAACCAATTCTGTGTGTTCTAAAAGTATCCTAAGCAGTATTTGTCCTGTGTAGATGCTCAGAATCCGTAATTATGTTCTAAAAAGAACGTGTCTGAAAAATGAAACTCTTTTTCAGACACAAGACATAATATTTACATTTCTTTGCAAACTGAATACAAATCTAAATTACATATTTTGTAGCAAAACAAAACAAAAACATTACGCATCACTGGATATAATTAGTGTGAATTCCTTTTTCCTCTCCTCACCAAGCTACTGAAAGTAAAATAATCACACCACGTTGACATTTTATAAAAATTATGAAATGGAAAGAATTTAAGCAAAATCCTTCACATCTAACAGGGGTGAGACATACCTGCTATAAATAGAACTGAAACTTATGAAGTAGTGATTCTGTAATGTATGAGCTCAACCCCTAGGGCATTTTGTACGGAAGCAGACAAATAGCAACAATACTTTACCAGGATCCTCTTTTGCATCTTTTCTTACTTTCCAATCTTAGTTTACACTCCTGGGATTGTGACTGGTGATTCCCACTCTAGGTACGAATGAGCTATTGTGCCACGTAAGAATATTTAAAGACAGAACCACCTGGCAAATGAATTTAATATTCCTAATCCAACAAATCAACTCCCTACAGATTAAGTATTCTGTGTAAGGCAGGCAGGTTAATTCAAACACACAAATCTGTTTATCTATGCAAGAGGGTGAGAAATACAAGAGAAAATCTAAATGTATTGTTTCAATTTAAAACACATTTAAAACCAAATAGCAAAACATAAAAAATCAGAATTCCAGTTCTAATTGGGGATAATCTCAAAGTTTCATGGAAACAATGGAGAACTGTGAAGCCAGGATATTTCAGTGTTGTGACTCAGCAGACGTCTTCTGTGAGTCTGTTCAGGATGCAAGATTAACACTGCAGCTGGGGCTCGTTAGTGGCGTGTTCTGGG